ATGAGGATGTGGGCACAGGCTGGGCATGGGCACGTTAGAAAGAAAGCAGTGACGGGCTGCACTTGAATCTTGATGCACTGTAACAGGCCAGTCCGCGACGAGCAGCTGGAACCTCAGCAAGTCCAACATCGCGAGGAGAAACTTGAGAATCTCGGTTCTTCCCTTATTAAACCCAAAGAGTAGGAAAAAGGGTGCCCTTATTGTTAAATTGTTAGGGGCGTACTGGGGAACGTAAGGGACGATGGAGAAGTTTGGCCTGCAAGTCGGTCCCTCGACGAACGGGGACGCCGGAATGGGCTTGTACTGCGGGCGTCAAGCGAAGAGCGGCTTGGCGTTCTTTTGCTTGGCTCTTAGGACTTCAACTTTTTGCGTCTATATGAGCCATAATACAGGAGCTAAAAGTTTAACTTTTAGGAGGGTTCCGGACGTCAGCCAAGGCGGGGTTCGCTTTCCAGTGAAAGGCCCCCTCTTGGACTCCTGGGATGCTGCGGTGACCTTCTGTCAGTCCGTCCCGAAGCTTGCGGAGCGTATCATCAAGGTGTCCTTCGGCCAGTCTGGCGGCGCGGACGGCTTCACGAAGTGGCTGGTGATGACGGGCTTGTGTGGCTATGTCAACCACTTCGAAGGCGTGCTCAGCGCGCCGAACGCGAAGCTGGTCGCACTGCCGGAGAACGGCCTTGGGGACCATCTCGTCTACTTGGAGGCGGGAGGCACCGGTGTGCTGGGTGAGTGCAGGCCGTATGTCAGTCGTCCAGTCCGATCGCGTAAAGTCTTCGCAATCTCTTGAACTCCATTTCGGATGCTAGCATTCTTGCTGATTTCAGCATGATACGTATTGTACTTTCCCTGCTCGCGCAGTTGACGAAGCAAGTCAGCAAGCAGAAAGAGATCTGTCTTTGCTACCCCGACACGCACCCGGTGCCGAAGATCGCTCCGCTCCCCAAGGCCGTTGCGAAACGGCGTCCGAAGAAGAAGGCCGCGCCGCCGGAGGAGTCCAAGCCTGACGCCAAGGCCGAGTCCAATCCGGACTCCAAGCCCGAGTCCAATCCGCAGTCCAAGCCCGAGTCCAAGGCGCCAGCGGAGACCGAGGCTGCAGATGATGATATGGACTTGGGCTCCCCTGAAGAGGATGCGGAGCAGGCGGAGCAGGAGGGTGCGGAGCAAGAGAACAAGGCCTGAGCCGCGCCTGAGTATTCCCAGTTCGTACGTTGGGTCGGCCACTTTTTGGTCTATAGAACCCAAGATCCATGAGTCCACGAGGACGGGCGCTGCCAGTTTTGAGATGTAGGTAACGCCATCGCGAGAGGGCTGAGAGACTCTGGTACTTTTCGGGCTCTCCCAGGGCCGTGCAGCCAGTCTGGAAAACCTACCTGGGAGTTATGCTTGGCAGCTTCAAACGCCGGTGTCATCGGCTGAAATTTCGAGTCATTCATTCTGCAGCTTGTACGTTGGGTCGGCCAGTCCCTGGTCTATAAATCCCAAGAGCCATGAGGACGGGCACTGTTTTCAGATGTACGTAATGCCGGTGTCATCGGCTGAAATGTCCACTCATTCATTCTGCAGCTTGTACGTTGGGTCGGCCAGGAACTGTCTATAATCCCAAGAGCCCTGAGGACGGCGTTGCCTGTTTTGGGATGTATACGTAACGCCGGCGTCATCGGCTGAAATGTGGAGTCATGCTGCAACTTGAGCCAGCCTTTGCGCGGGCACGGTCAATATAAGTATCCATGCCCCAGGATGACTTCCAGGCAACGCCTCTGTCGTAGACGTCAAGTTTCGGACCTGTCATTGTGTAGCTTTTGCGAGCCTGTGCGCACGGCACAGAAAATGATGCTTATCCTTGTGGCCGTTGTGCAAATCCAAACAGCACAGTGCGGCCTGTAGCACGGGAACATGTTCGACAGCACAGCTCACGTTCGACCGGCTGCGGCTCGCAGTCTGGCAGCAAGTAGGCTAGAGCTGACTTAGGCCTGATGTCATGGCATGCTTTTGTTTCCTGCCGGACTGTGACGAGTGCCTGGTCGCCATTGAGATAGCGAAGGCCAAGCGGCAGGATGCACAAAGAGCTCGCCCAGAAGAGTCAAATGATGCTGTGCCCCAGCTGGTTGTCGCAGACAATCCACAGTGCACATGTTTCTTGCCAGACTGTCGAGATTGCAACAAACCCATTCAGACAGCGAAGGCCAAGCGGCAGGATGCAAAAAGAGCTCGCCAAGAAGTGTCAAATGATGATG